TTTCAGAGATTCAGCAGTGTTTAATTTGAAGTTTAATTTGAACAAAACTGTGTTCAGTTTTGGGCCCCTCACTGCAAGAAGGACATAGAGCTGCTGGAGCATGTCCAGGTGAAGGGCGACAATGTCCAGGTGAAGGGTCTGGAGAACAAGTCTTATGAGGAGCGGCTGAGGGAGCTGGGGGTGTTCAGCCTAAAGAAGAGGAGGCTGAGGGGAGATCTGATCGCTCTCTACACCTACCTGAAAGGAGGGTGCAGGGAGGCGGGTGCTGGTCTGTTCTCCCAGGTAACTGGTGACAGGGCAAGAGGAAACGGCCTCAAGTTGCGTCAGGGGAGGGTTAGATTAGATATTAGGAAAAACTTCTTCACTGAGAGAGTGGTCAGGCATTGGAACAGGCTGCCCAGGGAAGTGATGGAGTCACCATCCCTGGAGGGGTTCAAGGAACCTGTAGACATGGTGCTTGAGGACATGGTCTAGTGGGTATGGTAGTGTTGGGTTGGTGGTTGGACTGGGTGATCTTGCAGGTCGTTTCCAACCTTAGTGATTCTGTGAAGAATCTTTGTAGATTTTGCCATGGAAAGTACTTTTCTCCATACATTTGAGAAGCAGAGAAAAGAGCAGGAAGATAAACATGCAAGATGCTGAACACCATACCTTGGACCTATCTACACAGGGCTTTTGAAGAAGGCAGATGATAAAGCTGTTGTGTCTGTCTTCCCAAGAGATCAGAGTTTTCTCAGCCTCTGCTGAGCAAAGCTTTGTCCCCCCCCTACCTCTCACTAATAGCTGAGGGAAGCTGATGAGGTAAACATCTGTGGGGTCCGTTTTCACAGTGTGCCCCCCTGCGAGACTGTATGTACGCTTGCTTGTTTGTTTAGGTTTGCTTTGACTAATGGATGATGTGTAAAGTTGGTTGAATGATTGTTGACATTCGCTTCAGACTCCTTCTTCCCTACTAAACTTCGCAGATAGGAGACCAGTTACAGAAGCTCCTTTGGTTTTCCTTGTTAATGATTCTGTTCTCTTGCAGTTGTTAATTATGTGTTTATCCTGTGATAGTTCTTTTCTCAGTCAGAGCCTTATCTGTTGCTTTCCAGACAAGCTAAGACTTGGAGGAAGCATTTGGGGATTGGAGGGGTGTTGGTTGCTTTCTTGGTTGAACAACAGTGAGCTGTCATAATCTAGGTTTTCATCAGAATGGCGTCTGATAACATGTCACATAACACGTAGCGGTTAGCTGGAAGTTAAGGAGCTGTTTGAAGAGCTGCTCATTCCCTGCAAATCTACAGCTGTGGTTTGTCACCAGAGGCTTTAATTGCACACATCTGCACAGCAGTGCTGTAGTTAGCTCTCCTTGTTTACAGGTGTTACTGCTTGGATGCAGCTTCCCTGATTATTCCTGTTGTATATGTCCATGGTGCAGAGTTTGTATTTTCAAATTATGGGAAAGCTGGGCTGTTTCCCAATCTCTTGCCCTATGCCCTTCCAAAAAAAGCTTGCTTTATTTTGGGAAATCCCTGACTTTTAATCCAAGTCTCTCTCAAAGGTTTTTACTCTCTTCTCAGAAGTTCTAATGCTGTTTTCTCATGGCCTTGCAAGAGATTTCTGACTCTTTATATTAATATTAGCTTTGTGCTTTAGAGGAGGTGTATTGTACATGTGATTCCTGTTTTGGGAAAAAGCCAAGTTGCATATTATATGGATGTATACGTTTCTAAAGGCAATGCTGCTGATTCTTGCTTACTAGATCCCTTTCTGTCCAAGCCTGAACATTGCATCCCTTTTGATTAAGGGGATGTCTTCTTCATACTTCATACCTTTCTAGATACTAAAAAAAACCCCACCCTGTGCTAGTTTCAATTGTGTGTGCATGTCTTGGGTAGTGGAGGTGATAATGAAATGGAAAGGTTTGAAATCAGGTTAGTAATCAGGCAGAGAAATTTCCACGAAGGGACAAAGGCAGTTAACGTTATTTGTTTGAGCGTAGTACCCGGCGAACAGCTGAGGGTCTGACTTGCCTTCTGTGCTGCTGCCTCCCAAGTATTTTGGTGGGTCTTTTCTTTTCTTTGGTTTTGATCCACAGGCAAACAAGGATACTACAGAAAAAGCCAGTGTGTAATAAACTAAACACCGCCAAGGAATATTTATTCCCAGGTACTCAGGCATGATTATCTGTACTGGCAAATTATCCAAATGATCCATGGCAAAGGTTTTAGTCCGTAGCCTCCCCCAACAACTACTTCCACTGGTGAGGAGCTGCGATGTGCCTGGCAGGCAGCTTGAGCGTTACGTGCTCTGAAGCCTGAAGATGCAGAGGCCAGCTGACCTCAGCGTTCTGGGCATGTTTAAATGAGGCATATAGACTGTAGCTGTTAAGAGCTAGGATAGTTTCTGTCTGTGTGCTAAATCCCATGGTCAGGAACATTCAAGGTGGCACCCCTTCCTGAGGAAGGTTACGTGTTGATTATTTGTACCTGTCAGCTTTAAAATGCTACTACTTTGATGTCTTTGTGTGTGAATAAACTAAGATGACATGACAGCCCTTCCACTTTCAGAGAAGCTGTAGGTACAGGGTATTTGTAAGGTGTCCTTAGCCGCAGAACCGCAGCTGGTGTGAACATCCAGTATCTTAAAGTGAAGTTGGCATGATGCTTCGCTGAGGCGTCATTTGTTCTGCTTTCTTTAGGAAGAATCAAAATCCATCAGTTATTTTACAGCTTGTTTTTATAGCTGATTTTGCAATGTAATAGTCATTATCACCATTTTAAATCTCTTGGCCCTTCACATGCCTTGGGTTGCTTCTTGATGTGAAGCTGCAGAGGAGTTATGTGAACGTAATATTTGTAAAATGCTTTGAAGATGAAAAGCTCTACAGTAGTTTTTTTTATTATTACCAGAGGCAAAGTGAGCAGGAGTGGCTTAATGTTGGACTGTTCATTTCCCAAGAGATGGCTTTGTTTTGAAGAGTGCACATTATCAATTGGGTTGAAGACAAAATTACCTTATTTCGATTCTGAATATAAATAAATTGGCAAACCTTCTACCTTGAGATTATCTGCATGAGATGTTTGTAAAAGAGCGGAGCAGTTATGATACTGTCTGTGGCTCTGTTCTTAGTTTACGTTTAATGGAACATTTATTTAATATATTTGCCTTCTGCTATCCAGAGGTGTTTTGCATCCAATCCATTCGAACATCGTTATATATACAGCAGTATTTTTATATGTGTGATCTATAGGTAGATAGGAGATACGTATTTGAGAAATATATATATTTGCATATATCTTGCTTCTCTAGAAATAAAAGCAGTTTCAGCATGTAAATAAAGAAATGGTCTGCATTCAGAAATGGTGACATTTTGTTAGTTTGGTTCACGGACAGTTTTTCACATGTTCAACCTACCATACATAAAAGAACTGGCTTTTATCTAATAGTGCTTTAAATATTTCTCGAACAATTTTTATTTCTAGCCTGTATCTACGTCATAAACTGATAGGTGATTGTACAGGGACAAAAAAACCCCACGAGCTGTTGGGCAGTTCTCAAGCTACTGCTGTTTCCCTGTGAGTTAGAGGAGAAGGGCAGGAGCTGCATGGTTCAAATGGAAATCCCACTTCAGCCTGTGAAGCGGAGGCTGCTTCAGGCACACCGATGTCCTCGCGTGGTGCGTTGTCCCCCTTGCCCTTGGAGCGGGCCATCGCCTCCACCCAGCAGCCTTGTTTTGACAGAGCCGTTCTGCGGTGTCAGCAGCGGGTGCCTCTGGGGAGCCGGCGCTGCTGCAGCCGGGGATCTCTGAAGCAGCTCTTGTGGGTGGAGGGGCCGTTGAGCCGGGGCCAGGAGTGAGGCACTGTGTCCCCGTGGCCTTCAGCGGGCCGCCTCGCTCGCTGCAGCTGCGAAAGCTTTGGGCTACTGCCTGGCACTTGCAGAAATCATCGTGGAATTTGCTGATTCTGCCAGACGCCGGCTAAACACTTGTTCCCAAGTGGTGTGTCCCATCAGTACAGCTGTTGGTTATGAAAAACACGCGAGGGCTTTCATCCGTAATAATAGAGCTTTGTTGGAGTATGGCAAGCTCAAAATATTCTGAGTAATACTGTCAAATCGTACCTCCTTGCTTAGCCTATAGGGAACTTCATTCCCCCATGCTTGGGTTAAAATGTGCATTTATCGTCGCCACTTATGTCAGAGGTGGGGAGGGGTGGAGGCTAAATTCTCCCTCTGTACTGTCAGTAAGGATTAACTGACATTGTTGGGCAGTGCTTTGAAAATATTCTGACCTATTTACACAACAAAACTGATCAGCACAAAATAAACAGTTCTGGTCAGCGCCTGAATGCTGTATTGTGGCAGCTATACTTGGCAGTGGGTTTGCTCATCATTTTTCCAGTGTAGACAAAACCTGAATGCTGCAGAAACCTTAAGCATTACAGGCAGATAACACCCGTGCTGAATGGCTTGATTCTCCCGTTGGCGTTCAGGGAAAGGGGGCAGTTTGGCCATAATTCAGTTGGAACAAATGCTTATGAACCAACTGACAGAAAAGCGTATGAGTAGATCTATCATTTTGCCATGCAGGGTAATAAATAATTGCATCATTTCCAGCAAGCCGCAGTATATTCCTGTGAGATGGTGGATCTCTCTCCAAGGTGTAGTCTCTGCAAAGAAGCAGCGAATAGGGAATTGTGACAGACTATAAGAATTGTTGGTTTCTTGCCTGGGTTTTATTTTTTTATTTTGTAACAACCATAGCGGGTACTTGCAATTACCTTCTCATTCTTATGTGGTGTCCCCTTAGGAATGAATTGAGAGAAATATTTCATCTTAGCTATTTGGACAACTATTCCATGTTTTCTGGGTCACAGATTTTTCATAGTTTGGAGGATAAAATTGCCTGACACTCAAGATAGGAAATAGCTCTTTCTCTCTTGCATCTTCAACTCAGATTCTGAGCATACTAAAACAAAGCCTTTTTAAACTTGTCTTTTTTTCCCAATTCCATTTAGTGATAGTCCCAATGCTGTCCATGAGGTGGAAAAGTGGTTACCACGACTGCACTCAGTGGTCATAGGACCTGGCTTAGGTAGAGATGAAGTTCTGCTTGAGAACGCTAAGGTAATGTGTATACTGATACTTTATTATGTGTCTTTATGTTGTATTTGACTAACCATTTTTCTGTCTTTTACATGATTACACAAATGGCTTTGATAGGGTTACTAACTTACAGATTTAATAAAATACTGTTGACTGAAAAGTACAGCTGTTAGTCGTGGTCTTCGTTATTACTGTAAGCATCACTCTGAATTTTAGGCACCCATATGGTTACTTCGATTTGCTTTTGTTTTGATTGTGAAAGTCGCTAATTAAGAAATAGACATTGGCATCTCTAGATAAAGGGCTGTGTGTTTTCTCAGGTGCAAAGCACCTGTTCTGTAAAAACATAAATACAAATTTGAGTTCCTAATTTTCAGAACCGTGTTTGTGTCAGGAGAGGTACCAAAGAACCAGGATGGTGTCCCCTTGCAATAAGAAATAATACTTTTGATTATAAAATGTGCAGATTCCTACTCTGGATAAAGAGGTAATCCTATTTTCTGTCAAGCCTTAGCGCAGAGCTGAAAACAGGAGCTTAGATAGTTCTGTGCCCTAAATAATACGTACTTATGCTATGTTCCACATGGTGTGTTACTGTCAACACGTCTTTGTACGTGTTTAATACACTAATGTTACACAGTGAAACTGCAAAACAGGGGAGGCAGGAGGCTGGAGACCACGCTGTCCAAGTAAGTTTAGGACACCTTGAGAGGTGTCCACCTAGGGAGGGTGGCTTTGCTGTTGGAGCTTTGCGCTTCTTTAATTCTCCCCTGCTTCCAAAAAATGTTTGGTTTATGATACAGAGGTACAAAACATAAAGAGAAAGAAGGAAAAGTAAATTTATTTCACCTGATCAAGGAATCAAATTCTATTCTGAATGAAAAATTTCAACAGATTTTATTCTTTTATGAAAAGATTTTTTCAAATTTCTTACAGAAAAAAATTTTAGGTAATTATTTTTGCCTCTTTTTTTTTTTTCCCCTAAAGGAAAACAACTTTAAACAAGAGAAAATAAGAATTCATTATTCTAACATGAATAATTATATAAGAATTTATATATCTAACATGAGTTTCTTTTATATCAGAATTCCATCTGGGTTTTATAAATACCTGTCAATATGCTTACCTGTATTACAGAAGTATCTGGAAGATTCCTTGATTGTTTTGTTCAGGTTTTTTTCATCATTGCTAAAAAATAATTTTGCTTTCTTAGGCAATTCCCAGCATGCTTTTACTTCAGCCTGGCTGTCCTGGGTGAGCTAGCTTAAAGTTAAAGAAACAAACCCAGCCAATGAAGGCAAGGCGTTTGGAAGTTACTTCATGCTAAAATCTCAGGCCATGTTCATATGAGCTGTGGGTCTGACCTTATTCATTTCAAGTCACATTAAAGCTCAAGTTCTTTGTCTTCCCTGTAATTATGTAAGTGTTCATTAGTCACCCAGTGCTGGTTTCTTAACATATAATTGGGGACAAGCGAACCCTGGTTGCCTGCTTGAGGAAAACTGGTGCTTTTCTGTGCTGAGGACAGGCTGAGTCTCCCTCTTGCTTCAACAGTGAATTTTAAGCTTCGTGTCTCTCTTCACCTTCAAGAAAAAAAGCAAGTGATGATAGCGTTGCTATTTTAAACTTTTATAGCAGGCTGGCTTGGTATCTAATTTTCTGTTTTCCCTTTAAGCTAACTCAGCATGCTGTCATGTGAATACAGGCCTGAGATGTGGATTAGTGTCTGCTCTCTGGTCAGGGTTTTGCAGCAGAGTGGCAGTGACGATGGGAGAGAGCTTCCCCTCTTCTTCCCCCTGCCCCATTAAAGTGCTGAGGCGTAGTGGTCTGTCACCTCTCTGATGCTGTTCTTCTGTCAGTTCTTGTCAGCATTGTGCCAGCACATTGCCAGTGAATGTGCTTGTCCAAACAGTCACGTGTTTGGGCTGCTTCAGTCTTCTGAGCGTGGAGAAATCAAGATACTAATGCAGTAACCTGCCATTTCTGGTGTACGGCCCATGGACAGTGTTTAATTGTGGAATAGCTCGAGTACTTGTTGAGTGGGGTGGTGCACCTTCTCTCTCCAGACCAGAGATGCTTTGCTTCCTCAGCATCTCTGCTGTATCACCCTCACACTTAATGCCTGCAATGTGTGCACTGTGGCATTTCAGCTCCTTTCAACAGTCTGATGGAAAAGCAGCACCTTGTGATCTGTTTCCTTTGTGTTTTTTTCTTTTTAAATTGTAGTTTATTTTGCTGTTTTCTTGAGGGCGTACTTGGACTCTTGGAATACATCCTTACTGGCTTCCTGTCACTTTCTGCCTTTGGTTGTAATTCCATTTACAAGTCCTGTTATAAGAAGCCACTCTAAACATTGTATCCCTCTCTCACATGTCACTTGTGTGGGTCTGTGCCAAAACCCTCACGTGCTGTTCCTCAGTTGCCTGGGCGGGGGCTGGTGCTCTGTGAGAGCTTTCCACACCGGGGTTTGCAGGAGCTGCAGCGTCAGATAAATCTCTTAGAGAAAGCATTTGATGTGTCCTAATAGCTGTGCAGCTGGATCCCACGCAGATGTGGCAATCGTAGTCTTGGACTGGTTAGACCCTCCATCTCTGGAGCAGTCCAAGCTATGTCAAGAGGAAGGAACAAAAACCCATTTCTGCTCCACTTCTCAGCCTTAGAGTGTGCGGAGTGAAGTGCCTCAGCTCCCTAATGCTGTTTGGACATCTGGTGTAGACCTTGGTGACCACAGCCAACTTATTTATAGGCAACGTCAGGCCATCTGTTCCCTTTCAGTGTCCATGATTGATTCTGGACGGAGGTGACAGTACCATTACCTCCCCCAGTTCACCTCAGTTGGTATGCAGCTGGTGGGGGTTTAGGCGCTGTTGAGAAAGAGTTTAGCTGCGATGCGGAAGCAAGGCCAAGGTCCCTACGCTGTTCTGTGTCAGTGCTTGGAGGCAGCATACTTCCAAAGCTATTGGCTGTTCTCCCTTTTCACACAGCAGCGATGTTATTTGTCTGTCATATCTCCCCACCACAGCGTTCTTCATTCAGTCATTGCAGGGATGTTTGCACTTAACTCTGATCTGATTTTTCTTGTAGCCTGAGGCTTGGAAGAAGGAGAATTCCCACCTGTACCATCAAGAGCTGTTCCTCAGGTTTGTGAGAGAACCAAGTTCCTCTCCTGCAGGATGATGAGTGCAGCTCCTCAGAAAGAAAATTACATTCCTTGCTTAGCCCTCTGGGAGGGGAGATGATGCTGTCTGGTGCTCCAGGATGGTCTTTATTCCGCTGCTGCCCAGAAGTTAGGTGCTTACAGGCTTTGCTATGTCCTTTATCAGCTTCCAGCCTCTCCCCATCTCCATTCTCCTATTCCTTCTGTCATGAATGCGATGTTCCTATCAAATTTTCTGCTTCTGAGTTCGGTGAATCTTTATTGGGTACGTTACTGGCTTTGTGGTCAAATGGACTGATACAGAATTGTTGGAATAGTAATTACTGTCAGGATCGGGTAGAGAAAAGCATTCATCCTTATGAAGATCCCTATTCTTAACTGAAGTAAAACTTGTGACATTAGAATCATCTTTGCTTGTTACTGGGTTCCTTGCCTTTCTCCCTGAAGTTGTAGCATTGAAACCTGGACTCTGGCACTCCAGTCTTGCTGTGTTTTGCTTTGCAGCTCGAAGTTAGATGGCTGTTTTCAGCAGAGCATGCCTGCTTCCCTCCCGTAAGAGAGGTAATGATTAATAGCAAGAATGGCTCTGTGTAATGCAGAGTACGTGGTAAAATCGACTGGATTCTCAAATGGCATACTTGTTCCTCTTGCTCAATTCTCAGTCTTTGTTTTAGCTCCAAGAAAATGTCCTGAATATCAGCCTGGTTTCTTCTTTTGCGTGAGGCCCTGCCTAGCTGCCCTTTCTGCCCACTGCTGTTGCTTTTTCTCTTACCCCAACTCCCTTGCCCTTGCAAATGCTATTCTCAGCCAGTCATTGGCCCTTCAAGATCTCTGCTAACTGTTGGCATGTAAACTTCAGAAATAACTTTTTCCACCCTTAGTGACATCAGCAGCATGGAAATACCTTGGCTGTAGTTAACATCTAGTAAAGGGTTGGCAGAGGTTTGGACCATTGTCATGGATCTCCTCCATGACAGAGAGAACCCATTTGAAGTTTTTCTTTCACAGTTCCACCCCAACTGAGGTATCAACCTTTCAGTGTTTGGTGTTGGTTAGTTGAATTAACTTCCCGCCATCAAACCTCATGCCTTCAGGATTTACGTAGCACTTGACAGCCTTAATAAATTGTGAGAACAGGACCAGGTGTTTCAGTATGCTATCTGTACTAGTATTTGCAGTCTCAAAAGAGCTGCAGAATACAGAGCCATCTTTTGTTGTCTCAACAGTCCATTAAAGCTAAATCTGCCACTGTGGGCCTTGAGAAGCATTTTCCTCTTGGTACCTGAGCAGCCCCCTAGATAAAACACCCGAGAAGCATCCCAGGCTAATGCTGCCATTGAGGGATTATTAGTCTTGTCAGTGGTAGCGACCACCATGCATAAATGTGAAGAACAGGATGTGTTAATTCTTTGGCATCACTGCTCATTGACTCAAGTTAGCAGAAGAATTATTTACCAGAAACTTAATTCTTCGGTGTGTCACATGCATTTGCTTCCTGCCCCTGTGTATGTTCCCTGGAAAGTCCTCTGGAGGTTCTTGCTGTGGGGATTCGGCAGTGAGGACAGGCATGTTCTAAGCCTTTGGTTAGGAGAAGGTGAGGCGGATGGGGTCTTGCGCCTGTGATACTGCCGAGGCGAAAACCAGAGGGCATGTGTAAGCGCACCCACTGTGAGAACGTGTGTGTAAACCTTGTTTCTCTCAGCTCTTGCCTGGCCTCTGAGATTGATGCATACACCACAAGTAGTATCCAGTGAAAAACTGCTCAATTACTAGCCGAGCCTCATTGCTTTCAAACAGCACCGTAAGAGCCAGAATTTGTGGGTATCTTCCCCTAAGCTGAGGCAGGGTGCAGGTGTTTCTCTGT